GTTACTTTAACTGACAATTGCTCAGTCCTGTAATGCTGCACCCAAATTAAATTTACGTCCTTTTTTCCCACGAATTGTGCTTTCTTTCAGTGGTATTTGATCGACAGTGCATTAATTTTTTTTTTGCACTATAAGCAAACAAGTCTGACAATTTTGAGAAAAATACAATATTTTGAACTTTTTGCTATTAAACATATCAAGTAAAAAAATTTTAAAAAATCAAATTTTGTCATAAATTTAGTTTAAAATGTATTCTGCAACATGTCTTTGCTAAAAACAATCCCAATACCTGTAAATAATTGGTTTACATGAAAGTTATAGTGTTTAAAAATGGCGGTAAAGATACTGTTTTTTTTTTCTCTATTAGTAATGGTAGACATATAGCGGGACTGCGGGACTGCAGAGGACATTATGACACTGGGGGGGAACTAACTTGGTGTCACTGGCACCCCAGTGGCACCAATACAGTGATCAGTGCTAAAAAAAAAAAGTACTGACACTGTACTAATGGCACTGGGCAAGAAGGGGTTAATGTGTGGCACTCAAAGGGTTAACTGTGTGCTGGGAGTGTTTTACTAGGGGGCGGGGGTGTTCTTCACTGTAAGCACACTGATTGGGATGGCTGTACTGTGCACAGCCATTCAGAGCAGTGTGCCCAAGCTGACAGAGAGGAAGATTGTTTGTAAACAAAACAATCTTTCTCCGGGTCGGAGATGCTTGGCAATCACTGGGTGCTGGTGGGTTATTACCAGCCGGGACCCGGTGATTGACATCTGTGGCCCTCTTCAGAAATGCAAAATCACATATATATATGTGATTCTGCACACAGGTGTCACCCTGTAGCAGCATATCTGCTATAGGGCGGTCCTTGAGTGGTTAAAGTGGTTTTAAAATCTAAAGGTTTTTTGTTAACCTTAAAGCGGTTGTAAAGGCTCAAGGTGTTTTACATTCATGCATTCTATGAATGAAGGTTAAGAACCTTCAGTGCCCCCAGCCCCCTCAATACTTACCTAAGCTCCATCCAGATCCAGTGACATGCATGACAGCCTCGGCTGTCCCAGGTCTCTGCCTCCTCATTGGATGAGACAGCAAGCAGAAGCCACTGGCTCCTGCTGCTATCAATCACAACCAGTCAGCCAATTAGGAGAGAGGGGTGGGGCCAATGAGTGCCCCTGTAGCAAATTGATTGCTATGGGGGCACCAAACAGGAGGGAGGGGCCAGGAGAGCCTGCAGGGGACCTGAGAAGAGGAGGATCCAGGCTGCTCTGTGCAAAATCACTGCACACAGTAGGTAAGTATAGACATGCTTGTTATTTTACAACAAAAAAAAAGAAAACCTTTGGTATCGCTTTAATGCATTCTCTGCATTAAGGTTTTAAAGGTCTTCTGCTTCAACCTCAGCTCCCCCCCCCCCCCCAAAATACTTATCTGAGCCTGATCTTGATCCGGAACTATGCTGAAGAGCAACAACACTGATCTCTCTCTCCTCACAAGGTAAAAATAAAGCCATTGGCTCCTGCTGCTGTCAATCAAATGCTGTGAAGAGGGAGCAGGGGGGGAGGGGCAAGGCTGAGCTGCGCTGTGTGTGTCAATGAAAACACAAGGGAGGAAGAGCCAAGATCACCAGAAGAGGAGGTATGTAAAACCATTGCACAGAGCAGGTAAGTATAACATATAACATATTTATTATTTTATAATAATAAAAAAAAACCCTTAACCTTAATTATCACTTTAAATAGTTCATTTGGACCAAGCTAGTCCAAACGAACTACTTACTTCACTAACAGATGCAGCGGCTGTATGCACTCTATAAACTGTATGTATCCTCAGCTCAGCCATTCACAGCAAGTTTTGTATTCTATGAATGAATACAAAGCCTTCTCTGATTGGAAGTCAGAGAACATGACATCATGCGCCCAGCTCTCCAACTTAGCCAATCAGAAGAAGATTTGTATTCATTTATAGAATACAAAGTTCCTTGTAAATGCTGTGAAGCTCTCATCCCGACTCGATTTTGTTGTGGAAGTGGGGCGGGAAATTCCCATCCCGCTACCATGCCAGTGCTGTGTAATGTATGTAGCTTTGGTTGCATACAGCTCATAGAGCTCTGAGAGCCATTGCGTGTGTTAGTAAAGTAAATAGTTCATTTAGACCAGCTTAATCCAAACAAACTATTTCATCTTCACTAAAATATGAAGATTAGCTTTAACGAATTAGTGTCAGGTGAATGATAGGTGACTAGTGCTATAGCAATTCGAGAGCAAAGACAGCTTATACCAGGTTTTAAATTAATAAGTGAATCTGTCAGTGCTACCAATTAGACAAGCTCTACAATCATCTATGTTCCATATCTATTCAGTTTACTTATCTAAATGCACTAAAATATCAGGCGGAATGGAAAAAATCTAACAGATTGCTTCATCCATGCAGCGCAGTGCAGATAAATGAATCTCCCACTTCATTGCACTTTGACAGTTGGCCCCATGAGCTGTCAAAATAACTGAAAAGTGACTGCATCTCATTGGTTGAAGGTGCTGTTCAGCCAATCATTTTTCACCCGACAATTTTTCCATTCAAATATGTCAGTCATGAGTTGGTGGACAAGCCGTACCCCACAGAATGAATTCTGAGTCAGTGTATGGCCAAATTTTACATGTGGTTCTATTTCAGATGCCTCAAGGCCTTCCCTAGCATTGCCCTTTCCCTATGGGCAGCCCTTGGATGCTCAAATGGTTCCTTTTCTTTGGATGACTGAGGAAGAATGCACGAAAAAGCTCTTTAGCATGGACATTAGGCTCAGGCTCCTAAGAATTGTCCTCAGGACCATACCCCTTACATTCATTCAAATATTGTAGCTGTTACCTTCTTCTTCTGCAGTCCAGAATTGCCTCAACTTTCAACTCCTCATCCGCCTTAAATAATCACAAGTTTGGGTGGGCCTGATTTCTGATCAGGAAAAGGGTTTGACACTGCAGGTTTTAGCAATTACGTATGGTACATGGGGTGGATTTTAAAAGACTCCAGTAAAGTCAGTTCTTAAGACACATCATACATTTACTTCTTACCGGAAATGGACCCACAAACTTAGGTGACAACTTCAAATTTGCCATAGATAACCACTCTCGATTACCCCGCTGTAGGATCAGTTGTTCCCTTTTCTTGTCAAAACCTTCTTTGTTGTCCTCCTGAGCCTTAGCCACTGCTTCCTGCAATAATTTGTTATTATGATTGAAAAAATCAACTGTGCTTTGCAAAGCTAGAACCAGGGACTGAGGAAAAAAGTCAGGTAAGAAGAATGGGTGGTTTGTTTAGTTCTGAATCAAATTTCAGACAAAATTTTTGTTATTCAGATGTATAACAAATTTAAACAAATCCGAAATAAGGAAACAAAACGAAACCGAATCTGAAAACAAATTTGAAATATAGACATATTTTTGGCCATTGCTGATTTCCTTCAAAGACTATGTGTATTAGTATTAGAGTATAGTCATCTTCCAAAATTAGAATTTGAAAATAATAGAATAGAATAAAACAGAATAGAATAGAGTAAAAAAATTAACAGAATAGAATAGTATAGGAAAAAAAAGAATAGAATAAAATAGAAAATAAAATAAAGGAAAAGAATAGAATAGAAAAGAATAGAGAAAAAGAATAGAACAGAAGCAACAGAATAGATTAGAAAAGAACAGATTAGAAAAGAGAATAGAATAGAAATGAACAAAACAGAACAGAGTAGAATAGAAAATAATGGTATAGAAAACAAATGAATAGAATAGAAAAGAAGAGAAGAGAAATAAAAGAATAGATTAGAATAGAAAATAATAGGATAGAATAGAAAAAAAAGAATAGAATAGAAAAGAATAGCATAGAATAGAATTGAAAGAATATAGCCATCTTCCAAAATTCAAACTTCGAATAGAATAGAACCAGCTATTCTTCACAATGTATATTCAAAACCCAGTGATTACCTCGAAAAAATAAAACTAAGATAGTGTATTACCTTCAAATATGTGTATATACCTTCAAAACAAATAAGTATATACTATATCTGTGCAAAACTTTTAACATAAAATAGATTCAACTGTGAGTACCACGTGAATCATGCAAACTCACTTTGTGTACACTAAAATAAACTAATATATAGTGACAAATTGTGTACACTCAAAAAATAAAAAATAAACCAAATCAAATTTAAAGCAGCAAAGGCCAAGCCAATAAAGCAACTGCAGGCCCCGGACTCAAAAATTGTGGATATTGGAATGACTCTTCCCAGAAGCTGGAACGAGATAGGAAGACTAATATGAGTTCAACTGGCAGATAGGAGTGGCTGGCTAACAGGAGAAATGGACAGATACTTACGCAGCTTAGAAGGGCAGGGTTGCACATGGTGGTGTTCTTTGGGAGACAGCAAGGAACGCAACAGGCCAAGTTGTATGGTGCTTCAGATGCAGGAGGAGTAGAGAGCAACAGGAGCAGAGCCAGGAGGTGCTGAAATTTTGGGTACCATCCACACAGGACAGGTTTGCTGAGCAGATCTCTCCATACTGCGCACTCGGAGCCGGCGATCAATCTGGATCAACAGGGTGATAAAGTCTTCCAGCAAATTTTTATAACCCGACCTGAGCAAAATCTTCCCTTAAGGTTTTTGCGAAACCAAGGTGGAACTGATCCTTTGTTGACTCGAGAGAAAAAGTCAGTGGTTGCAGAGTAAAATAAAGTCGACATGCATTATGGAACATTCTGCATTTACTCTGGTCACCAGAAAACCACTCAGGAGTAGGGGTCCAGGAGGTAACATCACTACAGTGGAAGTAGTGGGAGTCTTTGTTTGAGCGGTGGCAGTAGAAGCCGATAGACCTGTGGATGTAGCAAGTGACTGGGTGCATACTAAAAGCTGGACATATCCCCTCCTGCAGGGTCCTGGCAGATCTTGTCCAATAGGACTATGTCTGCAGTCTGTGACCATCACCTGTACTATGTCTGCAGTCTGTGACCATCACCTGTACTTTGTCTGCAGTCTCTGACCATCGCCTGTACTATGTCTGCAGTTTCTGACCATCTCCTGTACTATGTCTTCAGTATCTGACCATCTTCTGTAATATGTCTGCAGTCTCTGACCGTCTCCTGCACTATGTCTGTAGTCTCTGACCATCTCCTGCCCTATGTCTGCAGTCTCTGACCATCTCCTGTACTAAGTCTGCAGTCTATGATCATCTCCTGTCCTATGTCTGCAGTCTCTGATAATCTCTTTGTGGCATGCAAAGCAGAACTTGTTTTTCAACTGTATCCCATTGGTGCTGATATTTTGACCATATTGGCCATAGTGACTTTTAGGTGTAAACTTGTTATAGTTATTGTCATTGTCCACATATCGTGTTTATATTGCTTAAATATTGATTGTCTTAGTTTTTAAAGGGAGTTCTATCATTTTTTTGCTCTGTCAATACATGTTTCATGTTTTGTCAGTAAAAAAGTCATTAAGGGTTGGCAACACTGACAAAGACATAGGACAGTGGTGGGCAACCTTTTTTTTCAACTGAGCCAAATCTCGCCAAAACCACGATTGAAATTTATTTTGAGAGCCACATTTTTAAAACTGAAAATACATCCCCATATAGTAATTCATCCCCCATAGTAATTCATCCCCCATAGTAATTCACCCCCCATAGTAATTCATCCCCCATATAGTAATTCATCCCCCATAGTAATTCATCCCCCATAGTAATTCATCCCCCATATAGTAATTCATCCCCCATAGTAATTCATCCCCATCCCCCATATAGTAATTCATCCCCCATAGTAATTCATCCCCCATATAGTAATTCATCCCCCATATAGTAATTCCCCCATCCCCCATAGTAATTCATCCCCCATAGTAATTCATCCCCATATAGTAATTCATCCCCATATAGTAATTCATCCCCCATATAGTAATTCATCCCCCATAGTAATACATCCCCCATATAGTAATAATCCCCCATATAGTAATTCATCCCCCATATAGTAATTCATCCCCATAGTAATTCATCCCCCATAGTAATTCATCCCCCATAGTAATTCATCCCCCATAGTAATTCATCCCCCATAGTAATTCATCCCCCATATAGTAATTCATCCCCATATAATACATCCCCCATAGTAATACATCCCCCATATAGTAATACATCCCCCATATAGTAATATCATCATCCCCCATATAGTAATTCATCCCCCATATAGTAATTCATCCCCCATATAGTAATTCATCCCCCATAGTAGTAATTCATCCCCCATATAGTAATTCATCCCCCATATAGTAATTCATCCCCATATAGTAATAATCCCCCATATAGTAATTCATCCCCATAGTAATAATTCATCCCCCATATAGTAATTCATCCCCCATATAGTAATTCATCCCCCATATAGTAATTCATCCCCCATATAGTAATTCATCCCCCATATAGTAATTCATCCCCCATATAGTAATTCATCCCCCATATAGTAATTCATCCCCCATATAGTAATTCATCCCCCATATAGTAATTCATCCCCCATATAGTAATTCATCCCCCATATAGTAATTCATCCCCCATAGTAATTCATATAGTAATCATCCCCCATAGTAATTCATCCCCCATATAGTAATTCATCCCCCATATAGTAATTCATCCCCCATAGTAATTCATCCCCCATATAGTAATTCCCCCATCCCCCATATAGTAATTCATCCCCCATATAGTAATTCATCCCCCATAGTAATTCATCCCCCATATAGTAATTCATCATCCCCCATATAGTAATTCATCCCCCATATAGTAATTCATCCCCCATATAGTAATTCATCCCCCATAGTATTTCATCCCCCATATAGTAATTCATTCCCCATATATATCCCCCATATAGTAATTCATCCCCCATATAGTAATTCATCCCCCATATAGTAATTCATCCCCCCATAGTATAATTCATCCCCCATATAGTAATTCATCCCCCATAGTAAAACATCCCCCATAGTAATTCATCCCCCATAGTAATACATCCCCCATAGTAATACATCCCCCATATTAATACATCCCCCATAGTAATACATCCCCCATATTGTGTCAATTCACTTACCTTTGCTCCGCGCGTTCCTCTCGCCGTGTTGCCGCGTCGTTCTGGTCTTCAGGGCGGACTGTGAGAGGAGAGGAGTTCGTCACGCTGCCCCGCCTACATCCTGGCTGCCCCGCCTACATCCTGACAGCTGCAGAGTCCTGACTTTTGGGGCGGCCGCCCGAGAGGAGGGAGGGGAGGGGAGCGGGCGCCCCGGCACACAGAAGAGCCGCATTTAAGTTTGTAAAGAGCCGCATGTGGCTCGCGAGCCGTGGCTTGCCGACCACTGACATAGGACATCGTTCTGTAATTGTCCTCCACCCCACACCTATCCCTCTCCCTGTGCTGCCCAAATCTGATTCCCCCCAGTATTCCTAGGGCCACTTCCCTCCCCCTTGCCCCCCCCCCCCCCCGCAGCTCTGCTGGCTGCTGCAGGGACACAGGGGCATGGGGCTTCAGTTTATCAGCCCCTGTCTCCTGTTCATTTAAATTCAGTGGAGCTGAGGCTACAGGGAAAGAGAGAAATAATGATTTTCGTGCAGTTTTAGTGAAAATACAATTTTTATATTTTCGAGGGGGTGGGGGCCCTGTCAGGCTGTATGGGGCACTGTGATTTCTAACAGCAGCTCTGGTTAGTTCTCATGGCTTGCAGCACTTGTGTCATGGGTTCTAATCCCAGTCATGGCACCACCTCTCTGGAGCTTGCATGCTTTCCCTGTGCTTGCGTGTTTTTGTGAACACACCAAAGACATGCTGGTAGGTTAACTGGGCCTAGTATATGTATAAATGTCAGTTTGTGGCCTTAGATTGTAAGCTCCTTGAGGTTACAGACTGTTGTGAATGCCCAAAATATGGAAGTAAATTTCCTAGGCTCTATCAATGACAAGAATGTTTATTATTCAATTAAGATTTTGGCTACTGACTAGCCAGTAGAGAGGGAGTAGAAGAGCTTACTGGTGTATGCTTGTGTCTGTGCCACCTATATAGTTAGGAATAACAATATCTTCTTCTATGGAATACCTTGAACCTCTGCTATGTACCTAAATGTATATTGTAATCGGACACGTATTTTACTGAAAATACAACAATTATTAGTAATGTTTCCCCTGAAGCAAGCATGAAATAACTCATTATTTCTATAAGTGCGGTATTATAAAGCATCCCTAATTCTTATTTTCAAGAATGTACCCAATTATGCAGTGGCCAGATCTGTGTGCCCAGATAGGCCCGTCCCAGTGGCTATTCTATGGACAAGGTACACTTTTATTTATACCTGAGCTATGTTGAGATGCATTAGTCAATACGTTGCAATTGGCAGAAGTTTCTTTACACAAACCAAATGAGCTCAGGTATCCAAAGGTGAATGTTCCTTCATAACAAACCTCAGTTATGTATTGTATGGGCCTGGCCCATTCTAATGAATGCATTGTTCAGGCAGGTCCTCCTATTACAGAGTTTAGCTACATGTTGAGGAAATTGTACAGAGTTTTGAACAGATTGTATAGTATCTTAAGTCTAGGAAATAGAATCAAGAGGTGACATGACACTTTTTTTTTAGGAACAAAAATTGTCTTTATTAGACAAATCACAGGCAAATATAGGGCCTGATTTGAAGACACGATTTTGAGGGAGTCTGCAAGCTCACAATTGCTTGTAAACCAAAAATAAGGCTCGGCTCTTTGCCAGCACACGGCTCAACCCCATTTGGAAAATATGGGGATTCCAATATCTGTTGCAAGTTTGTTCAGAAACAATTATGCATCCCCAACAGCAGCATAGAGGAAAGGGATGGGAAAGTTGCTGTGCTACTTCCAAACCACCTCTGGCATCCCAGGGTGTTTATGCAGGTCCTTGATGCCATTTCTTTCCTGTTGCTACAAAATATCCACTTTCTGCAAATGAAGGCGAGTGGAGAACATGAAGGTGGTTTTCTCCCAGCTAGAACACAAGTGAGACCACTCCTGTAAAATGAGAGCAAAGAATAATTGACATTTCGTCATGACAATCACTTCTCAGTGCAGGCTAGCTAGAGTGTTTTTTCTTTTTTTTTAATTGTTTTGCAGTTCAGGAGTTCAAGTAAACATTTTGGAGCAATTACAGTGGTTGGAAAGGCAAAAGGTTTCAGCCCCCCCAGGCACACTAATGCTTAATTTAGCCCCATCCTAATGGGCTTGAAAAGCTCTGCTCCCTGGGATCAGTGGCCTTCTTGGGGGTAAGTGAGCCTTCTTGGGGGTCACTCCAGAACAAGGTGCTTGCTCTGGGGGCACTTGACAGGAGAGAGGGGCTAAGGAATGCTGGCGGGGGAGCAAAGAAATGAAGGATCAGGTCCGCTCTGTGCCAAACTACTGCACAGAGCAGGTAAGTCTATTATTTTAGTCTTAAAAAATATTTAATATCACTTTTCAAAACACACCTGTGACACCAGACAGCTCGTCACAACAAGCTTCCCAGGGTACATGCCGTGCCCTACACCCAAGATGTTAATTGGCTGGAAAAAAAAAAAAACAGATTCATAGCAAGGTTCTTTTTTTTTATATAAATATACAGGTGGCACAGACAACAGCAAAAACTGGCCAGCTGTTCTACTCCCTCTCCACCCTCTTGCAAAAAGCCACAGCAGTTAGCCATTTAATGTTTTATTGGCCTGGCCAACTTGTTGTCATGTTGACTAGACACTAGATAAAATGGAAACCACACCTTTCAGATCTTTCTTAATATCTGTGTCCATGTGAGGGAGAGCCCTCAAAGTTGCCATTTAGTACTGTTGCAAGGCACCAAGAAAATCAGTTGACAAAGCAGGATGTTTGTAACAAGGGGTCGCAAATGGGAAGTCATCTCCCAAAGGATATTCTCTCATAGGCCCCCCCCCCTGTGACTTGTGCAGGTAGAGGAGCATGAGCCCAGACCTCCTAGTGATGTGAATTTGTAAAGTGGTTGATTTTTTTAGAAGGTCAATGGTGGTCTCAACAATGCTTCGGCTTCTCTGCAAGGACTTCTTATAAGTCCATTTGGCCTGGCTCTGGGGGTACCTGTTTGGAGCCATCAGCCATGTCAGCTGCGGATACCTGGCATCCCTTGTGAAAAAACAAAAAAAATGTGGTCAAGCAATTTCACTAGTCTGGTTATATGTGTGTCTAGTTGTGGCACTAATCCAGGCCGCGCATTAGTCAATTGTCATCTCTGACACCAGGGTTTCCAGACATGGAAATGTACTCAATCATTCATCTCCTAACTCAGTGGTGACAGGGGAATAACATCTTATTTACTATTATGTACTGCTGGTGTGGACGGCGGAAAGCCTTGACAGCTTGCTGTACAGCATGCTTGTAGCTGGCTATAGTCAGTCTCTATAGTTTGGGTAGAAATAGCAGACAGGCTGTGTGCACAGAAGTGGATTTCTATATGGACTTGTTGCTAACCAGGGTGCACATACATTGCTTCATAAACTGTGGCTTCTTGCTGAGTCAAACAATTAAACCTCCCACATCCCTTTCCCTGCTAAGCAAGTCGAAGGGAAGATCATTGTAATACATTTTCTCTCTTCTTTTATGCAGCGGAGAACACATATATGTGATCACGTATAGAAGTTCATACCTTAACTTAATGAACAAAGAATAAGAAAAAAAAAACCCTGCGTTTGAATGGACGATCCCTACCCTAAGCTGCTAACACCTTCCTTTAACCACAAAGTGAAAAATAACTACCGTATTTTTCGCTCCATAAGACGCACTTTTTTCTCCCCAAAAAAGGGGGGAAAATGTCAGTGCGTCTTATGGAGCGAATATGGAGCGGCCGGTCTGGTATTTCCACCGCCGCCATGTCAGAATACTGGGCCGGCTGCTCAGCTCTGCAGCGGGACCTTACCTGTTCCTCTATCCAGCGGCGCGCTGTCTTCCCGGCTTCTGTAATGTGCTTGACAGCCGGGTGCCAAGTGCACATGCGCAAGAAGCGCTGCACTTTGTGAATGGTAAGGCGGCACCTGGGACACATGACAGGTCCCAGAAGCCGCCGGACCAATCACAAACCGCAGCGCTTCTCGCTCATGCTCACTGGGCACCCGGCTGTCAAGCCGAGCGCCCACACTACAGAAGCCTGGAAGACAGTGCGCCGCTGGATAGAGGAACAGGTAAGGTCCCGCTGCAGAGCGGACACTAACCAAAGAACAACTCTGCGGAAGTAAGAATGGGTACCTGTCGAATTCAGGTACCCGCTCCCCCCCCCCCAAAGGTCTGCAGTCATCTCCTGTACTGTCCACAGTCTCTGGTCATCCCTGTACTGTCCACAGTCTCTGGTCATCTCCTGTACTATGTCTGCAGTCTCTGGTCATCTCTTGTACTATGTCCGCAGTCTCTGGTCATCTCCTGTACTGTGTCCGCAGTGTCTGGTCATCTCCTGTACTATGTCCGCAGTGTCTGGTCATCTCCTGTACTGTGTCCGCAGTCTGTGGTCATCTCCTGTACTGTGTCCGCAGTGTCTGGTCATCTCCTGTACTGTGTCCGCAGTCTCTGGTCATCTCCTGTACTGTGTCCGCAGTCTGTGGTCATCTCCTGTACTGTGTCCGCAGTCTCTGGTCATCTCCTGTACTATGTCCGCAGTCTCTGGTCATCCCCTGTACTGTGTCCGCAGTCTCTGGTCATCTCCTGTACTGTGTCCGCAGTCTCTGGTCATCTCCTGTACTATGTCCGCAGTCTCTGGTCATCTCCTGTACTGTGTCTGCAGTCTCTGGTCATCTCTGTACTATGTCCGCAGTCTCTGGTCATCTCCTGTACTATGTCCGCAGTCTCTGGTCATCTCCTGTACTGTGTCTGCAGTCTCTGGTCATCTCCTGTACTATGTCCGCAGTCTCTGGTCATCTCCTGTACTGTGTCCGCAGTCTCTGGTCATCTCTTGTACTGTGTCTGCAGTCCATTGGTTCAGAATATTTTTTTTTCCTGTTTTCTGCCTCTAAAACCTAGGTGCGTCTTATGGAGCGAAAAATACGGTACATAAAAATGGTGCAGCACTAAATAAATACTAACATGTGCATGAATATATAAAAAATTAAATATATAAATCAATACATATAACATGTCAACACACATAAGTGAATTAGCACAAACTGTACAGTGAAACCCCAGCAACATGTATATCCCCAATCTGGGGGATCAAATGAAAGTGAACCATGTGATTCCCTACTCGGGAACGCAATTATATAAACACTAGTACAAGTGTGCAAACATCAAAAAACACAATAGTGATAAATCATAAATGTCCACTCAAATGAAAGTCCACAAAATTCACTAATTCATGCACAAACACAGATCAATCACGTGTAGATTGAATCAGCACAACGTGAGGTGAATATAGTGTCAAACAACTCGTGAATCCTTAAGTGGCCAGAGTGCCCCCTCACCTCCTTACAGTGACCACAAGGGCCAGCTCGCTTTATGGATTAACCACGCTTTCACAGGAACTAACACGTCACCAAAAAGGACCCTCCTGGATACTCCAGCAGACTTAATACTCCTCCTGAGCTCTCCAATCACCTAGTACTCTTATGCAGCGTTCACACCAAAGGATCATAGCAAAGACAAACAAAGATCCTCCATAGTGTGAATCAGTATTTATTCAATCAAAGTAATAATCATTACTTTTACAATAATAATATAATATAAATATAAATAGGACGCATATGGCAATCCATCTTTATGTGACAGATGTCTCTCATTGCTAGATAAAAACAAAATGTAAGGTACAATACAATACTCTTACCTGTAGACAAATATATCCTTCTCTTCTTAATTGACCTATCCTGTCTCTTGTGTGTGTATGTTTAATTTAGCTAATTTGCAGCTGCCTACAGCAGCTGTAGTGTGGCAGTAGCCCAAAAACCATTTATTTATGTTCCTATGTCTTATTGGCCGGGCCAGATGTACAGTTGCAAGAAAAAGTATGTGAACCCCTTGAGATTACGTGGAGTTTTGCATGAATTGGGCATAAAATGTGCTCTGAACGTCATCTAAGTCACAACAATAGAAGAACACAGTCTGCTGAACATAATACTACACAAACATTGGATGTTGCCATGGTTTAATTGCACATAACATGTAAACATTCACAGTGCAGGGAGGAAAAAGTATGTGAACCTTTGGACTTAATAACTGGCTGACCCTCCTTTGGCAGCAATAACCTCAACCAAACGTTTCCTGTAGTTGCAGATCAGACCTGCACAACGATCTGGAGTAATTTTGGACCACTCCTCTTCACAAAACTGTTTCAGTGTAGCAATATTCTTGGGATGTCTGGTGTGAATTGCTTTCTTAAGGTCATGCCACAGCATTTCAATTGGGTTGAGGTCAGGACTCTGACTGGGCCACTCCAGAAGGCGTATTCTGTGCTGTTGCAGCCATTGTTTTGTTGAATTACTTGTATGCTTTGGGTCATTGTCCTGTTGCATCACCCATCGTCTGCGGAGCTTCAGTTGGCGGACAGATGGTCGTACGTTTTCCTGCAAAATGTCTTGATAAACTCTGGAATTCATTTTCCCATCAATGACAACAATCCGTCCAGGCCCTGAGGCAGCAAAGCAGCCCCAAACCATGATGTTCCCTCCACCATGTTTTACAGTGGGGATGAGGTTTTGATGTTGGTGTGCTGTGCCTTTTTTTCTCCACACATAGTGTTGTGTGTTCTTCCCAAACAACTCAATCTTGGTTTCATCTGTCCACAGTATATTTTGCCAGTAGTGCTGCTGTGGAACATCCAGGTGCTCTTTTGCAAACTTCAAACGTGCTACAATATTCTTTTTGGACAGCAATGGCTTCCTCCGTGGTGTCCTCCCATGTACTCCATTCTTGTTTAATGTTTTCCTTCCTTGTAGATGTGTCAACAAAAATGTTAGCATGTGCCAGAGATTTCTGTAGGTCTTTAGCTGACACTCTGGGATTCTTCTTTACCTCATGCAGCATTCTGCGCTGTGCTCTTGCATTCATTTTACAGGACGACCACTCCTAGGGAGAGTAGCAACAGTGCTAAACTTTCTCCATTTGTAGACAGTCTGTCTTACTATGGACACATGAACATCAAGGCTTTTGGGGATACTTTTGTAACCCTTTCCAGCTTCATGCAAGTCAACAATTCTTGATCGTAGGTCTTCTGAGAGCTCTTTTCTGCAAGGCATGGTTCACATCAGACAGTGCTTCTTGAAACCAGTAAACCCAAAACAGGTGTGTGTTTTTTAAATGCAGGACAGCTGTCAGCAACACATCCAATATCATCACACTGATTGGAGTCAAGGTTGGCTCACTCCTGGCTCCAATTAGCTCTGGGAGAAGTCATTAAGCTAGGGCCTCACATACTTTTTCCTCCCTGCACTGTGAATGTTTACATGTTATTGCACATAAACCATGGCAACATCTAATGTTTGTGTAGTATTATGTTCAGCAGACTGTGTTCTTCTATTGTTGTGACTTAGATTATGTTCAGAGCACATTTAATGCCCAATTCATGCAAAGCTCCACGTAATCCCAAGGGGTTCACATACTGTTTCTTGCAACTGTAAGACATGCCTCAGCCGCCATGTCTGCCAAATCTGGACAGTACACGAGTCGTTGGAGCCACTTGAACGTTTTATAGCTCCCAAAATGGGCACCTCTCTCATGGGCCTCCTGGGCAGCCTCCGGTTCCAATGACATGGAGATGACAATTTGTCGCCTGTACTGCAAATCTGACTGCAAGTATATGGTCCGACACAGGAGTCCCTGGGTAACAGTTAGCTTATTCCATTGCCTCAACAACTTTTGGTCCTCGGGAGTCAGACGAGCCCGCTCTTCTGACTGAGGCCAGATCTTGGTTCGGACCCATTCTTTCACATTCCACAGGTCCAGGCAGCTATCCTGGACCCTCTCCCAAGCAGCCAACGTCTTTCCCAGCACCATTGGCATCCCGGACGCCACCCCACTTGAATGTGCCACGTCCTGGAACATGGGTAATCGACCAAGGTCAGGAGTTTCAGTGTCCTCTAGCTCCTCATCGGCACTCTGAGCCGGCAACCCTACAGGGACTCGGGAGAGTGCATCAGAGTTGCCGTTCTCTCTACCTGACCAGAACTTGATGCGGTATTGGTACTTAGAAAGATGAGCCAACCACCTCTGCTCAAGCGCACAGAGTTTGGCATTTTCCAGATGTGCTAACGGGTTGTTGTCCGTCATCACGGTCACCTCTGCACCGGTCAGGTACTCTGCAAACTTTTCAGTCATGGCCCACACCAGGGCCAGTAGTTCCAATTTAAAGAGCTGTAGTTGTCAGGGTTGCGCTCTGACTCCCTCAGAGCCCGGCTGCCATAGGCAATGACTCTCTCACGTCCATCCAGGACTTGGGATAACACAGCCCCCAGACCACTCGATGGGACGATGCTTTGGGCCTCCTGCAGTGCCCCTTAACAACTTGTTTAACGGGCCCACCAAATGAGCAAACTTGGGTATAAACCTCCTGTAGTAGCCGGCCAGTCCAATGAATGCCCGCACTTCTCGTAGTGTACTCGTCTGGGGCCACTTCTGGACGGCCTCCACCTTGTCGGGGGTTGGCTTTACCCCCTCATGGGTGACCAAATGTCCCAAATACTCTATCTGCTGTCGAAACAGTTGGCACTTCTTGGGCTTGATTTTGAGCCCATGGTGTCGCAGCCGTCCTAAGACCTGTCGCAGTTTCTGGAGGTGATCCTCAAAAGAGGCCCCAAACACTACTACGTCGTCCAGGTATATCAATACTGACTTGAAGTTGAGATCTCCCAGACAGTGCTCCATCAACCGCTGGAATGTTCCCGGGGCATTGGACAGGCCAAATGGACTCGTAGAGACCCATAGGTAGGATGAAGGTCGTCTTCGCTTTGTCCTTCTTGGCCACCGGTACCTGCCAATACCCACTGGCCAGGTCAAGAGTCGAGAAGAACTCTTCATGACTCAGGGCGGACAACGACTCCTCAATCCGCGGAAGGGGGAAGGCATCCCGGACAGTCTGGGCATTCAGCTTCCGATAATCCATGCAGAAACAAAGACTCCCATCTTTCTTCCAAGACTACTGGAGCAGCCCAAGGACTTTGACTCTCCTGGATCACCTGGTTTTCCAATATGCTGGCCACCATATCTTTCACCTCCTGGTACATTTTAGGCGGGATTTGCCTGATCGGTGCAGCATTGCCGGTGCAGATTTCGTGTTCGATGGTGGAGGCACACCCAAAGTCCTCATCATTTCTCGAGAAGGCCTCCTGAAACTCCCAAAGGGTGTCTTCCAGCAACTTCTGTTGTCCTGGAGTCAGGATCTTGCAGTCCACCCCCATCCGGGCCATGATCATTCGACCGTTCCACTCCGCTGTCGGGGTCTCCCTTTGATGGACCTCTACAGCATAGGTCCAGGCTGATCTTCTATCTGCCCGTAGCGTGAAGCTCCTCCATCGAGGAATATCCCCTTCGGACACATAAACTTCGGCTAGCAAGGTATTCCCAGGGACGGTTAACTCACAGTCTTCAACGTGGAGGCAGCGTACAGGCACACATCCATCCTTCACAATAGCGAGGACCCGGGCTACCAGTGGATGAGTCTGCGTTTCTTCTTGGTAAGCGGACTCGATCAGGACCTCCAGTCCATTCAGTCGTCGTCCAGCCCCAACCAGCAGCATCAATATACGCTCATGTCAAGGCAGGATCTTCACCAGGGTCCTCTGCGGCACCCTCACATGTCCAATGGGCCGACCGGACATGTCGTCCTTTCGCAGACTACAGCTCCTCACCATCTGCTGTAGAACCTTCTGGGTTGGCCGGTGTGTGGTGGCCCATTGGCAATACCTCGGCCCTTCTTTGGCATAAAGTTGGTGGTCTAGGTCCCTCAGCACGTTCATACCTAGTGTCACGTCCATCCCTCTCCTGGACGAATGATCCACCAGCACGACCCCCTTCTTGTCGACATCTTGCCCACACAGCCAGAACCGCATCCAGACTATTCCTCGGACATCCATTTCTC